AGCGGCGGGGCAGCCCTGGAGCACCCTGCGGAAGGAGGTGCGACGGGTGCGCTTCCAGCTGGACAAAGCCCCCCCTGAGGCCGAGGGGGCCCTGCACCCCAGGAACGGGTGGGCACTGCGGCCCCCAGCTGGGGCGGGCGGTGAGAGCGCGCTGCGGGCGCTGGAGGAGAGGATCCGGGAGATGCGGGAGCAGCTGCGCGTGGCCCTGCTGCAGAGGAGCGAGCTGGTGGCTACGCTGGGCACCGCGAAGGGCGGCCGGGAGCTGCCTGACCCCACGGCCATGGAGCAGCCCCGGGAGGAGGGGTGACAAAGGGTGGGGGGGTCCAAAAACACCCCAGAGTGGGCTGAGGGATGGGAGGAAAAGGCCCGAGGATCCGGGAGATGCGGGAGCAGCTGCGCGTGGCCCTGCTGCAGAGGAGCGAGCTGGTGGCTACGCTGGGCACCGCGAAGGGCGGCCGGGAGCTGCCTGACCCCACGGCCATGGAGCAGCCCCGGGAGGAGGGGTGACAAAGGGTGGGGGGGTCCAAAAACACCCCAGAGTGGGCTGAGGGATGGGAGGAAAAGGCCCGTTGGGGTGGTGGGATGGAGGGGGTTGTTTTGGAGAAGGCAGGGGAGTGAGATGAGAGGCCCCTGCAGAGAGGGGACTGCTGGCAGCCCCTGCAGCAACGCTCTGGGTTTAATCTGTGGAAATAAAGGTGATAGAGAAGAAGAAAGTCTGCTTTTTCTCTTCTAGCTGCACCCTAAATGCAACCCTTCCCCTCCCTCCTCCGCAGGGAGACCCCAGCCCAGGTCAGCCCCACCGCAGGACAGCAGTGATGAGGAGGAGGCAGGAGTGGCCACCCCTCTGGCAGAGCCATTTCCAGGGCAGCAAGGCAGGGCTGAGCCCATGAGCCATCTCAAACCGTAGACTGAGATGCTGTACATCTACCAGCACTGCCCCTTCCCTTGCCCATGCAGAGGGGGGCACCCCCTCACCTCCACCAGGAGGGATTAAAGAGCTCCCCATGCCGCTGCAGGTGATGATGGGTGGCCTTGAAGGGAGCAGGGCAAGAGCACAGCAAAGACCTCTCCTCCCCTCCAGCCTCCCCCTTGCACAAGGAGGCTGCCACGCAGCCCCCCCCTGCCCTGCCACCATCTCCTGACTCATGACAAGGCAGACACTGGCACCCCAGGACAGTGCAGGGGCACCCCAAGGACCCAGCATTCACCTCGCTGCACCCCAGCCCGCAGATCCTCAGCCCTCAGTGTAGCAGGAACCCAGCACAAGCACGCAGGACACCCCAGCAGCTGTTAGAGGTAATATTTATTATTATATACAAACACATTTTGTACATTAATTAAATAGAGTGAACTCTACTCTTCATTCATCAAATCATTTGGTTTGTTTCCACTCCTCTTAAAAGCCTATGATTATTCCTCGCCCAGAGGTGGGAGCTGGTGGCCACTGTGGCCCCCCCCCCAGGATGGCAGCCCCCTCCCAAAAGGGGTCTGGCATGGTGCTGAGCAGGCTCCCCCCTTCCCCAGAGCAGCACCCAGGGCTTCTTGAGACAAAAAGGAAACAAAAAACAGGGGGGCACCTGGGTGAGAAATGCCGAGAAAGTGAAGTGAGGGCATCTGAGACCCCAGTGCTGACAGGGAAACCCTCTCCTGGTAGAGGACACAAATGCACAGAGGAGCCCCCTGAGGCTCCACAGACGCTGCTGAGCTGAGGGGGACATGGCTGAACTCAGGGACACTTCACAGCGCCCCAGCTCCCCCCAAGGAGCAGCGCATCCCACACCACCCTTCCCACCCTGAGCTCTTCAGTCCTGCAGCCACGATGTGCTCCTGCGTCACTGCTCTACTGCCAACAACGCCCGCTCCCACCATATCCTCGCAGGGTCAGGGTGAGCCAGTCCCCCAGAGCGGTCAGGCACCACCAGCTTCACCTCCGCTGCCAGGGAAATGAGGGGAAATTAGCTGAAATGTCTTGGCTTTAGTGTTTTGGTTCTCTGCTAAACCATCTCATGCAACAGCGCAGCCAGCGCAAAGCCGATCTCTCCTCCGGGATGGGGCTGATATCAAATGCAAACGTGTCCCAGGGAAGGGACAAGGCACTGAAAAGCAAACATCGCCTGCAGCAAAAGCGGAGCCGCAAGAGCCAGAGCCACCGGCTGCATCCCAAACGCTGCAGTCCAGCCCCCAGCCTGGGGCCATTCGCCTGTGCCACAGCTCCCAATTCACCCCGGAGAGGCCAAGGTCCCAGAGAGGTGACAATGGCAGAAGGGATAGCACCTCCTCAGCACTGGGCAGCACAGGAACAGCACCGCTGGCTGCTTCAGAGTCTCCCCAGACAGCCCTCTGTTGGGATGGGAAGCTCTGACCTGGACACAGCAGCTTTGGTTCCCCAAGCCCACTGACCGAGGGAGCCCAAGGACAAAAAATGGGGCTGCGCTGCAGTTCCTGCTTTGGTTATTGCCTAGCTTTGCCCTGGCATGAGCAGATCCAGTGTCTGGGGAAAGTCTCAAGCTCCTCTTCCCTGTAAGGAGAAGGAAAGCTCACCAGGTTTCTCCTCTGCCTCCTGTGGCTCTGCCAAGGACATCTGAAAACACCCTCCCTGCTCACACACAGCCCACCCTGACCAAAGCTGCCCCACACATGCATGGTCTGCACCGTATCAGCTCATGCTTGTCAACAGCCTCCGAATGACAAACATGAGCACAAGGGGCAAAGCCAGGGCAGCTGGGGGCAAGGGAAAGCTGTGGCACAGCCCCAACCACCCCATCCCTCCCTCCCACAGCCCCACACACATCGGCTTTTCCCAGGGGAGCTCCGCAGCACCTTTTCCTCTGTCCCAGCTGTTCTGCCTCCTCTAAGAGGAATTCATGGGTTAAGGATGATGGTGAAGTGAGAAACAGTAACAAACGAAATCCAAATGCCTTCCTGGCAGTCCAGTTATAGGAACGGGTGGGCTCAAGAGAGGCTCCTCGAGTCCGGCTCCGAGCAAGGTCTGGAGCTGGGGGCACAATCCACTGGTGCTGGGCAAGGGCTGCTCTCCCCCCAGTCCCCAGGAGCACGACCCGAGCGCCTGTCCTGGTCAGGGTCCCCTACAGCGGCTGGAGGGAGCTCTGCCACGCTGCTGTCTGCAAGGCAGTCCTTGCCAGAGGGCTTTGCTCGCCTGTCCGAGCCCTCCACAGCCTCAGTCTGCTCAGGGAGGGATGGGCAGGGAACAGCGGCTCCCTCCTCCCATGGTGGGGGGAGGGATGCAGCTGCGGCGGGGGGAGCATCTGCTGCAGCCACCATAGACGTGGAAGTGACTTCAATGGTGATGGAGCCCATGGCCGTCTCCGGGTGGTCACTGCTGACCCTGATGCGGGCAACCAAACTGGAGGCAGCGTCCTGCGGGTTCCCACTGGCCACAGCTTCGTGCACCACGTTTGGCTCCAGGAGGGTGGTGCTCAGGTCAGAGAGGAACGAGGCCTCTGTGACGATGGCGGCTGTCTCAGCCACCCAGTTCAGGTCGGGGCCCATGGAAGCAGCCGTGGCGGCGGCGATGACGCTGGTGGCCTCGCTGGGAGCGAGGGCGGCCGCGT